ACCTTTTGGTGCACGAGATGACACCCAACCAACTGAGCCACACCAGCCAGGGCTGTAGGAAGCCCCAGGACAGTGATGGCGAACACATGACACGCATGTCAGAGGTGACGCGCGAACTCATTTTTTGGGTTGATTTTTCTTTATTAAATGGCATTTAAATATATAAAATAATATCAAAAATATGTCTTTGTTTTACTATGGTAGCAAATATCAAAAAATTTCTATATGTGACACGGCACCAGAGTTAAGTTAGGTGTTTTTCAAAATGCTGACACACTGAGCTCAAAAGGTTTGCCATCAGTGGGCTAGGACCTCCAGCACAATGTTGAATAAAAGTGGGAAGAGTGGACATCCTTGCCTTGTTTCCAATCTTAGTGAAGAAGACATTCACTCTTTTATCGTTTTAAGTATGGCATTAGCTGTATGTTTTACATAGATGTCCCCTTTTCAGGTTAGAGAAATTCTATTTTATTATATTCCCAGTTTGCTGAGAATTTTTTTGAAAATAAAAAATGGGTGTTAGATTTTGTTTAAAACTTTCTGCATCTATTGATGTGATCCTGTTTGTTTTAGTCTGTTATTATGGTGAACTGAATGATATTTGTATGTTAAAATAAAACAATCTTGTATTTTTGGGATAAACTCCACTTGGTCATATGTACTATACCTTTTATATATTACTGGATTCAATTTGCTAAAACATTGTTGATGACTTTTGTATGTATATTAGTGATAGATATTTGTCCATTTCATCTAAGTGTTTGATTTATTAGCTTTAATTTTTTTACAGTATTCCCTTTTTATTTAATAACTAGGCCTTCCTTCCCCTGGCTGCTGGCACTGGTTTTCCTCCAGCACCTGGGACCCAGGCCTTCGGTCCAGCCGCAGTGGAGAAGCCAAGCCTCGAGGCTAGGCTTCTCCCTTTGGGCCGCAGCAAGACTTGGCTTCTCTGAGGTTTGGCGGCTGCAGTGGAGAAGCCAAACCTCTTCAGTCTTCAGTCTTCACTCTGCGCCTGCATATGCAAATTAACCGCCATCTTTGTTGAGTTAATTTGCATAGTTGCTCTGATTGGCTGATGGGCGTAGCGGAGTGACACCAATTTGCATGTTTCTCTTTTATTAGTGTAGATATAAGATCTGTGGTGATGTCTCTTCCCACTCCTGATATCTCTAATTTGTGCTTTCTTTTCCCCTTATCAGTCTGGCCAGAGTTTTACCAAGTATATTGATTTTTCTCAAAGAACCAGATTTTTGTTTTATTGATTTTGATTTCTTATGCTGTTTTTCTGCTTTTGATCTGATTTTTGCTATTTTCTCCATTACTTCCTTTCTTCTACTTATTTTAGCTGTTGCCTGCTCCTCTTTTTTTAAAATTTTTATTAATTAATTAATTAATTTATTTATTTATTACCTGCTCCTCTTTTTCTGTTTCTTAAGTAGAAGCTTAAGTCATTGATTTTAAACATTTTTACTTACCTAATAAGCATTTTAATGCTCAAAATGTCCCACTCTATTCCTTCCTTAGGCACTTTGCTTTGACAAGTATTTTCACTCTCTCCTGCAACATCAATTATTCCCTTTCCACTGAGTCATTCCTATCTTCATACAAACATGCTGTTATACTGTTATAGTATAGGAAAGAAAGAAAAAAAGAAAGAAAG